CAGATCTTCCTTTCCATTTGCAGTCCCATGGTGAGTCAGTTATTCACAAACCTGAGAAGAGTCTTATCAACTGCTGAGTCTAGATACGGATTGCTTTTGGGGGAAGGACAGGTCTCATTCCAGGCTGGCCTAGACCTGGACTTACTTGGTTTAACAAGGATGACCTTGGACTCTTGGCACTGCTTCCACCTTCCAAGTTCTGGAATGATTGGTGTGCATCGCCACGCCGTGGGCTGGAGATTTCAATAAGCTGATGCCATGAGATGTGTTTGTATTGTTTGCTACATGGTTCTTAGGAGTTTCCATTTGGGGCATTAAGGGGAGATAAAGAGGCAGAAAACATCTCCTTTCTATTTTTTTCTTTAAAACTGTGTAGCCCAGGCTGGCCTGGAACTCACCATGTAGACCAGGTTGGCCTCAAATTCACAGCAATCCCCCTGCCTCTGCCTCCCCAGTGCTGCCACCATGCCAGCACATCTCCTTTCTAGATAGCCCTGGCTGTAAGTCAGTTATCTTGGTCACCGCCAGAACTACACTGGTAACCCTCAGGGAGAAGCTGGTGGTGAGAGCCGGTCACAGTGTGAATCTTCACCTCAGCACTAAGGCACCTCTGTTTAGTTTCCCTAGAGTGTATTGCATTGAAGTAGCAAGATCTCCACTCATTTACCACGCCTGTCATTGCAGAAGGCTTGGGCCCAGCCTTTTATTGTCCCAGTGAACCAGGTAAGTTCTGCAAGTCCCTGAGGCACAAACTCTCTTCTCCTGAGATAGCAGCATTCAGAGAGGTAGCACTGGGCTTGCTAACTGGAAGGAGCCTTTGATGTGATTTTTGTCTTTTGATTTAGAAGAGGAAACAAAGCCCAGGGGAGAAAATAGATGACCCCTGAGCTGCCAGCACTAATTAATGGCCGAGTTGGAACTGAGGTGCAGGCGTTCTGCTCACCACTGCCTAGTGCTGTTAGCTTGTGCTGCATGTTACGCTTAGACCTGGTCACTGCTCAGATCCCAGCTGCCTGTGTGTGCCAGCCGATGTCACCTACTGCTAGAGCTATTGGTCTAATCTTGCCACAACCTCATATGTCCCTCAGGTGGATCGGATGTCCTTTCCTTGTGGCTGCTCCAGGGATGGCTGTGGAAACATGGCGGGACGAATTGAGTTTAACCCGATCCGCGTGCGGACTCACTACCTCCATACCATCATGAAGCTGGAGCTCGAGAGCAAGCGACAGGGGAGTCGCCCAGCAGCCCCTGAGGATGAGCTCCTGCCCACTACTGGCTGCAGCCTGCCAGGAGCCCAGAGTTCTGAGACGCAGGACTTCCAGGAGTTCATCGCCGAGAATGAGACTGCAGTGATGCACCTGCAGAGCGCGGAGGAGCTGGAGCGGCTCAAGGCAGAGGAGGACTCGAGCGGCTCCAGTGCTAGCCTGGACTCCAGCATGGAGAGCCTGGGGGTGTGCATCCTGGAAGAGCCCCTGGCTGTTCCCCAAGAGCTGTGTCCAGGCCTGGCCACCCCCATTCTCATCCAGGCTCAGCTGCCCCCAGGTTCCTCTGTCCTATGTTTTACTGAGAACTCAGAGCACCCGGCTGCCTCCCCGGTGAGCAACCCATCCTACTTGAACAGTGGGCCTCTGGTCTACTACCAGGTGGAGCAGAGGCCAGTCTTGGGAGTGAAGGGAGAGTCTGGGTCGGAAGATGGCACAGCCTCCTTCCCTAAGGAGAAAGATCTGAGTGTGTTCTCCCTCCCCGTTACCTCACTGGTGGCTCGCAACTCCTCAGACTCAGCTGCCCCCTGTAAACCAGAGGTGGGGAAAACACCCGCTCTCGACAAACTGTTGCCCGATGACTGTAATGACTGTAACCCTAAGCAGCCTGAGAGCGAAGGCTTCCACCCATCTTGGTCTCCCTCAAGTCTACCCTTCCGAATGGACAATGGAGAAGGCTGTGGAGTGCAGAACTCCCAGCAGAGCGAGGATCGGACCCCTGAAGACTCTGCCCTAGAGCTCCCTCTGGCAGTGTGACCTGAGGTAGACACTGCCCATTCTCTATTTATTATCTAACACCATTTCAAAATAGGACTGCTGCTCCCAGATTATTTTATTGAAACTCTTAGGAAAATGGGTAGGAAAGGGTTGTTAGTACATGTGTTTTTAAGAAGGGAAAGAGACCAGCCCCAGCTCAGTTTCCAGTACTGAGCTCACTGGGCCACCAGAACAAAGATGTCGCTCACACAGAGTGAGCTGGGTAGCTCAAGTAGCTCTTTTTTATGCACAGGGCCAGAACTAAGGATGTGAGCAGCTCCCTGCAGGGCGCGCACTCGCTCCTCAGACAGCCATCTCGGTATATCAGTCACACCGTTGGAAAGGCCACTTAGCTGAGTCTAGAACGGAGGCTGCAGAAGTCTCCACTTCTCTACAAAGCCCCCAGTTCGAAACATTGATTCTGCCTTTCTCCCACCTCCTATCTGGGAAATAAGTTCATTTTCAGCGTGTTTGGTATTCCCTGACCTGCTCTGTGGACAGGATTCCTGGTCTGTAACTTGAATTATTTCTTTCTATGTTCTTAGACACTAGAGTTAAACTTCTCTGCCTTTTCCTCTATCCTTTTCCTTAAAAGAAAAAATGCAGGTTGGACATGGTACAGAGCACAAGGCTTGCACACCATTAGGCAGGGGTCCAGTGTGGAACAGTCTGGAAGATGACTGTGCTGCCTTCTCACCTAGTGCACCCACACACACTCCTTTTGGGAGAGCTTGGCTCTACATGGAATATAAAGTATAGTACAGAGTCACCAGCTAGTTAGGATCCTCTCTGTACCGACCCTCACGGTTCTTGGTTACCCAGGGTTAGAAAGCCCTTTGGAAATCACAGTTCAAACCTGAGAACTGCAGGTGTTTATTGGACCCTTCCATCTTGGAGATTTATGAAAACAAACCGATTCTTAGTAATATGACATAGGACTCCCAGATTCCAGAGGATTCAAGGTCTGATTATAATCTTTGAAATGTATAGACTGGGACTCAGACTCAACACTTACCTCAGTCAGTAGGCCTTGCTCCTCTCGTCCTAATTAAAGTCCCCAGATCCCCATTCAGCACTGACTTTTACTGGCAATGTTACCTCCGCCTCCTGGTTCAATGGAGGTGGAATGAGACAGTTTCCTCTGCCATTCTCCACCAACCAGGAAGGAAAAATGAAATTTGCTTTGATTTTCTGAGACAGGTTATTGCTAAATAGCCCTGGCTGGCCTGGAACTTACTGTGTGAGCCAGGCTGGCTGTGGCTGTCCTCCTGACCATGCACCCTGAGTGCTGGGATTGCAGGTGTGTACCGCTTGGCTCGACTCTATTTTTGGTGGGATACTAAGGCCCTGGGGTTGCAAAGCGAACTTGACTGTGTGTGGCAGCAGAAGCACCTAGTTCTCTCTCCAGCCTCACAGGAGTTACCCCGAGTACCAGAGGCCAAGATGCTCTCACCCTTAGCTAGAACTCTTAAACCCAAGACCGAAGCTAAACTGAGACTGGCTGATGGAGAAAAGAATCTTTCTGAAAGTTAGTTGAGAAGGAGGGAACTCAGCACCTTTCCTCCTTAACACTCCAAATGTTCTTATCCCTTGGCCTTGGATTTTCATTAGGAAACATACTACTCATTGTCATCAAGACTAGCCAACCTTCAAGATATTTGATATAATTCCAGTTTCTTATTCTAAATGCATCTCTTCTTTAATTCTATGTTCTGATTCAAACTGATCCCCAATCTCTGAGTGCTAAATGTTTAGCACTGGCGAATGTCAAGCAAAGGACCTTTCTACAGCTTGGTCCGTCTCATTTCTGGTGCTACCTGCGCTGGGCAGAAATGATAGTTCCTGCTAGGAAGGCTAGGCCCCTCACGGAAGCAGAACCAGTCCCCCTCAGCCTAGGCCTGCAGCTCATTACTGCAGCTCTTGTTATACTGTCTCCTTGCATACTGTGCACAGGTCGTATTTTCAATGTGAATCCAAAGCTTGTCTGGCTCTCTGAAAACAGTTTCTCCCCCTTTAGGTTCTTTACATTGTAATGATGCTGTATTTAAAGAGAATATTTAAATGTAATATTAAAGAAATATTCAAAAGAATGGTTTTCTGTGCAAGCCACGGTTATTTGTTAAGAGAACGGGTGCTTCTCTTGCTGCATGTATAAAACTGTTAGTTAGGAACTAATATCGATGATAGGAATATTCTGTGATAGAAATGTAGATAACTGTCTCTTTTATATATATATATATATATTTATTTATTTATTATATATACAATATTCTGTCTGTGTATATGCCTGCAGGCCAGAAGAGGGCACCAGACCCCATTACAGATGGTTGTGAGCCACCATGTGGTTGCTGGGAATTGAACTCAGGACCTTTGGAAGAGCAGGCAATGAATGCTCTTAATCTCTGAGGCATCTCTCCAGCCCTGATAACTGTCTCTTGCTGCAGGTGTAAAACTATTAGTTAAGAACTATTAGATAGGAATATTCTGTGATGGAACTGTAGATAATTGTCTTGAGCACCAAGACCCTGTCCTGCCCAGGATTCCCTGATAAACCACTTCAGCTTAAACAGACCTGGCCTTTTATACCCCTGCTGTCTGCAGTTGCCTTTTTCTCTATTTCTTTTCTTTTTTAAAAATTTACTTTCATTTTATGTGCATTGGTGTTTTGCCTACAGGTAAGTCTGTGTGAGAATGTCAGATCTTGGAGCTACATACAGTTGTTAGCTGCCAAATGGGTGCTGGGACCTGAACCCTGGTCCTTTGTGAAAGCATTCGGTGCCCTTAACCACTGAGTCATTTTTCCAGCCCATTTCTCTATTCTGATTGCCGTTCTAGTATGTCTGATAGATAACATTAAACAGCCCTCTAAATTTCCTTTCATCACATTAAAAAATTCTGTTCCAACCAATTAAATACCCACTAGTTAGGTCACATCAGCCTTATAAAAAACGAGTAGAGTGTGCGTAAGTAATTCCCCAAAACTGGTTTCAGGCAGTCTTTACTTGGGTTTAAAAACAATGCTTCATGCATTTACAGTAAGTTATAGATGTACACACGACAGCCAAACCCAGCTTACTATCTTGATGCAGATCCCCTGGTCTCCCAGGACTAGGCAGTAATAAGTATCTTACGACCCATGACCTAAAGAAGGCAGCCACTGCTGGCTACAGATGGTTTAGTGCAACACAGTGGAGGTAGCAAACACGTAAGGTCCTCAGGGACTGTGACAGCCTGAGAATTAAGACACTGGAGGGAGGGCAGCAGCCGTCCTTCAGCTTCTCACCTCCTTTAGGATGTTCCCATAAAAGCAAACAAACAAAAATAAATAAACAAAACAAAGAAAAGCAAGTGTTGAGAGAATATGAACAGGAAGAGGGTGAACAGTCCGTGCCAGCAAAGGGGAAAGTGTCCCTACTTTTGGTCACATCAAAAAGTGGCTCACGCCTGTAATCCTAGTACCCAGGTGCTGTGGCAGAATTTTCAGGATTGCCAGGAACTGAAAGCCAACCTGGGCTATATAGTGAATTCCAGGCCAGCCTGGGCTATACAGTGAGACTCTGTCTCAAAAAGGCCAAAAAAGAAAAAAAAGAAAAAGGGTGAGGAAAAGACTGGCAGGGTGTCCAGGTGCGGGCCCAGGTGTTAGTGCTCCAGTCTGGGCAGCAGGGCTTCTGGCACCCAGAAAGGCTGAGTGGACAGCACTTGCCTGGCACAGCAAAGCCCTTGGTCAGTTCCTAACGCCTCACAGGCTCTGTGTGGTTCTTCATCCTGTATCCCCGCCCTGGGAGGTGGGAGCAGGAAGAGCAGGACTTCACAGTCATCAGTTATGAGACCGTCACACAAACCCCTCACGGCTGTACAGACCGCGGCAGTGAGGCCGGTGTGCTATGGACCTGAGTCCTAGCACCCAGAAGCCTGAGGTGGGAGGATCCCTTGAGCACAGAAATTTGAAGCCAGCCTGGGCAACATAGACTTATGTCAGAAAAAATAAAAATTTAAGAACAAACCATGGCAGTCATGGATTTTAGGTCAGATGATTCTCACCTGCGCAAAAACTGTTAACAGGACCTAAACATCACATCACAATAAAAGTCCAGTATCAGAGGTGCTTGCCAGCTCCAGGTTAGCATGGTGGGATGGCAGCACACGCGGTTTAGTTCAAGCTGTGAGGGAATGTCTGTGCCTCCCAGATGGGTAGCGTGCTTCAAAGCCTATGGAACCTGTTCCTCTGCCTCCCACACTAGTGCAGACTGCTGCCAACTGCGGTTTGGTCCCACACTACAATACTATGTGACTGCAGGACAACGTCATTCTCTCCATGGTTCACTCAGCGCCTTGTCTCAAGGTGGTTGGTGGAAAGCAGGACCACGTTGTGCAGCAAGAGGGACAGCTCAGCTTCTGCAAACACCATCAGGGTTAGTGCTTGGCTAGGACTCGGTTTCCCTTCTAATTGCCCTGGAGTTCAGAGCTCGGTGTGAGGTAGAAGCCAGGGCTGGGGAGTGCAGCAGCACGAGGCTGATCTGCGGACCCTGGCCTCACGCCAGCCCCACACGCACGCCCCTCTCTGCTTCCACTATTTCTTCACGTCCACGGTGCCCTGATTCTCACGTGACGGCAGTCACCTCATGGTAGAATTAGTGCTGCAAGGACATTCCTCAGCTTCAAGACTGTGTCTGTCCCTCTCCCCTTATTACCCCAAGCTCAGGAACATCTGCCTATGTCTGGAGATATCTTTTGTTTGGCACACTAGACACAGGGCTGACTGGCATGGAATGGGGATAGGCAAGTATGCTTGCTAAATACTCTCTTGTGCATGAGACAGCCCCCTAACAAAATGCCAGTAGCGCCCAGGCTAGGAAGCTCTGCCTCAGCAGCAGGCAGTCCTTTTGTCTTACACAGTCTATGCTATAGTAGGCACTCAACTACAAAATAAATATATGTTAGATAAAAGCTTTATGATACTCAGCAAGTAATCCCAGGATAAAGTACAAAAATGAGCTGGGTATGGTGGTGTATGACTATCCCAGCATTCAGGATGAGAGGCAGGATAGCTGCAAGTTCAAAGCCAATCTGGGACATAGTTCCAAACCAGCCAGAGCTACACAGCGAGGCCCTGGGTTTTGGTTTGTTTGGTTTTTATTGTTTGTTTTCTAAAGTTCGGATTTCAGTAACACAGCCACAAAGGTTTGCCTTACCTTTTAGGCTGCAGGAAATCTGCAACCATTCTCCCAACCAAGCCCGACACCTGTCATCAGCAATGTGGGTAGAATTCAAGCCACGAAGATAGCAAGCCTGTACCACTCAGAAGAGAAACATCCTTAATAATCACAATATGCTACAGAAACAGACATCCACAGTGACTGGATCTTTTCAACAAGTTGCAGTCTCATCCCCATAAGAAACCAACCTTCAGCCGGGCAGTGGTGGTACACGCTTTTAATTCCAGCACTCAGGAGGCAGAGGCAGGTGGATCTCTGTGAGTTCGAGGCCAGTCTGGTCTACAAGAGCTAGTTCCAGAATAGGCTTCAAAGCTACAGAGAAACCCTGTCTCAAAGGGGAAAAAAAAGAAAGAAAAAACCCTTCACCATGCAATGTAAACTAGAAATGATAACCAAATAGGCCTATTGCTCCATGTCCTGCCAAGGCCCCCACGCTGAAGGCTCCGTGCCGGGTTAAAAAGATGCCCCTGGTAGAGTGCTCCTGCGGCACGCACAGGCCTGCATGACATGCCACAGGGAAAGCCTAGTCCAGGCGACCATGGGGAGGCAGGAGGAGAAACCAGGAGATGAAGCCTAGCGAGCAGCCTGCGTTCATGCGTGCATGTCCTTGCAGGGCACCGTGTGATGCCAGCCTTCCTCTTCCTGTCTCTTACTGTCCAGCTGCCAGGACATGAACAACTATGCTTCATCTCATACCCCTGAGATGCACTGCTACATCGTGGCACCAAAACCTCCAAAACTGTGAGCCAAAAACACCAAAAAATTAAAACAAAAACACCACCTTCCTTCTTTTTAAGTTGATAGACTCAGGTATTACTACAAGAATGGAAAGCTAACTGGTACATCTATATGATCTAAAATAGCAAGCTCAACTATACTGTCCTTGAATTGTTTTAAACAGGTTGTGCTGGGACCTCCCAAGTGCTGGCTCACAGGCATATGCATCATACCCTGCCCATGGGCTTTGCTTTCTTTTTTTCTCTTCCTACTAGTTATGTGCATTGGGGGAAAATTCATAAAAATAAAATAAATTAGCTTAGAGCCAGGTACAGCAGCTCTGACTGTAACCCCAACACTTGGGCGACTGAGACAGGAGGACTGCTTTAAGTTTGAAGCCAGTCTGTGCTGTTTGAGGACAGCTAGGGCTATAGAGTAAGGTCCTCTATCAAAAACTACAACCACCCAGAAACAGCTTGAGTTTTGGTACAAGCAAGCTAAAGAGCCCTGTAAGCTTCCAGTTCACTCGGGGACACTGCTTGACGCTGCAATCAACCTCTTACCGATTTCACCTCCTGAGCAGTCAGCTGGCCAATCCCCAGCTTTGCCAGAGCCCTGTCCAGCTGGTGAATCACTGTGGTGTGGCTCTTTAGGCGCCATCTCAACAAGGGCAGAGGCAGGTACGGCGTCAGGAGCATGGCCCGGCTCAAGGCTTTCTGTGACACAGCAGAGGAGGGAGAACTGAGATCATTCTATTTACAGCCTACAACACAGTGATCCTGTGGACACACAAGACCTCTAAGTGCTCACCATTTGCGGAGCCTGGAGTTGATTCAAGCCCAGGGGATAAGTTGAGAAGCACTCTCTGAGAGCAAGGATGTCATGGGCTGTTGGGTGGGTACCGTTCTGCACCTTGTAAGTAAGAAGTGGGTAGATTTTAGAGACCCTGGTCAGCTGCTCCTAGCAGATCCTGTGCAATGCAACCATCTGGAGAAAGGCTTGGCTGAAGCAGTACCTTGGTGCACACGTCTGTCAGATGCCACCGAAGCCTCTCATCCGAAACAAGTGCGCTGGCCCTCTTTAGATAAGCAATGATTTCTGAGTGGGACTGCTTCCGGAGACTGTGATATATGTCTAAGAAATCAATTTGTTGTTTGGGGGTCCAGAAATGCTTGACAAGCAGTTGCCTAGGAAACAGATACCTAGAAGGAAACAGCATCACAAAATAACTTCCTGGAAGTGGGCTCACCGGGCATCTGGCAGAGATGTGCTTCTCCACCCCACATTCTTTCTTCTGTAATTTCAGCCTGATTGCAAGTGGACAGAAACCCTGGTGGGCAGCACTCAGATAGAATGCCTCTTTTTGAACTAAAGCACGCAGAGAACTTACCCGGGACAGCTTCATAGAGCGGGGTGCTGTGTGTAATGCTGCTAACGTACCACAGAACAGTCATGAAAACACAACATGATAAGGGCCATGGATGTGCTCTTTAATTCAGTTACATGTAAGGTAGTTTTTTTAAAACATGGCTACAAATTCTCTGGTACTTCTTTTATGGGCAGGTAAGATTTATTTGCCTCTTTTTTCCCACTCTGTGTGATTAATTCATACAAAAGAGCTGAAAGGATCTGCGACCTCTAAGACAAAGCTATCAAAAGGATAGGCTAGTGGACACTTTGGTCCTGGAAGGCAGAGGCAGACAGACCTTTGTGAGTGTCAAGACAGCCAAGACTACATGGTGAGACCTTGGGTTTTGTCAGTACAGAGTCACATGCTCGTTGGCCTACTCATGCCTGGAGCTCTGGTTGTGTTGTAAGACACTCCACCATCCAGACTGCTAGCCTGAAGAGGCAGGCCATCTCCCAATGTCGGCATCAAAACAGACAGAGTGACGGCAGGCCCTCCTCTGGTTCACTCGAGCTAAACACTACTGCAGAGCCTGTTAGCATCACTCGGTACGGAAGTCGCTCACTCTCCTTAGGCTGTCCAAATACTTTTCTTTGATTTTGCTTGTTTGTCTATTTGAGACAAGGTTTCTCTGTGTAATAGCCCTGGCTGTCCTAGAATTCACTATGGAGACCAAGCTGGCCTCTAACTTACAGGGATCCACCTGCCTCTGCCTCCCAAGTGCTAGGATTAAAGGTGTGCACTACCATCACCTGGCCAAATGCTTTCTTTTAAAGTATTGCTTTATTTATTTTACTTTTGACTGTGTGCATGTGAATGCAGATATTCAGAGTCTAGAAGAGGGTGTCAGACCCCTGGAGCTGGAGTGACAGGCAGCCATGAGCCACCCAGGTTGAGTGCTGTGACGCAAATGAGGTCCTATGTAGGAGTAGTGTATGCGCTTAATTGTGCAGCTTCTCCCCGCTCCTCTTCCCTTATTCTTGACCCCCAATTCTCGAAAAGAATGGTGGTTTTCATCTAGTACGTTCTGAAGCTGCCATTATACCACCATTGACAGCTGAAGTAATACACAGGGTCATAGCTTAGACATCTTTGGCTATAAGATAATAAAGCCACAATATCAGATTATAAAAATTATTATTTTGCTGAAAAAAATTCCAAAGTGTTGTTCCTCTTGGGGACAAGGAAGGCACTAAGGTTACTTTACACAGCCAGGGCCGCTGAACCACCTACACCTGTCACTGCACCGTGTCGGGACCTGACAGTACTCAGCAGCACTTAGGGAGGACCCAGGCTCAGTTCCCAGCACCCACATGATGGCTACAGCCGTATGTAGGCCCTATGTCATGTATATACATCCTCATAAAATAAATCAGAAAAAAAAAAAAGAAACTTTGAGATACCGAAAAGACTGAAGTAGGAAGTCTGATGACCTTTCAACTTCTGAGATGAAAAGTTTTTAAAATAATTTTCTTGGGGCTGAGGAGATGGCTCAGGGTTTAAGAGCACTATCTGTTCCTTAGAGGACCTGGGTTCAATTCCCACCATCTAGATGACAACTCATAACCACCTCTAACTCAGGTCCAGGGAATCTGATGGCCTCTTCTGTCCCGCAGGCTCCTGCGTGCACATAGAGCACATGAGCTCACCAGCCACACAGACATGAAAGATGCAAACGAGTAATTTAAAAAATAAACAAACAGTTTAGTGGCCTTTTTTCATTTTGTTTGTTTGAGAAAAGGTTTTATGTAGCCCAGGCTAGCCTTGAACTTCTGATCCTCCTGTCTCCGTCTCCCAAGTGCTTAAATTATGTGCCACTACATCAGGCAAAATGATTTTTAATTGTTAGAAAGTCTGTAGTTTCGGGACCTGGTGTTAGGACATACTCACATCAGCAGGAAGACCAAGTAGTTGGCAAAGGGTGGGATGGAAATGACACCTACGAAAAGACACTTGGTGACATCGCGACGGAACTGAGCAGAAACAAACAGAGACCGCTTTAATCCAGGTAAGTTCTCGGTAACGTGGACAGCCCTCCATCCCACTGTACAGTGAACCTGTACTATAGCCTCAGAAGGTCCATGTTCACTTCTGTCTTCTAAATGGGAAGTTCCTGAGGGTAGCCCTCTGATGTTAATTTCCATATCCCAAACCCCTCAGTGAGCTCTTTCTGACCACAGAATGTCTCCTGACTCTTATCTCAGCTTCAAACTGCCTGTCACCTCACTGCCAAACATCTTCCTGCTGCCCTGAGGCTCTGTGGAGATCTCTGTATGTTCAAAACTAAACTGGATTTTATTACTTACGAATAGAATCAGAAAATGTGCCAGAAATTCTATATAGCGCTGCTGTGCAGTTCATTCTCAACGAACCTAATTCTGACAAATAACCGAATGCCTCACTCATGGCCCAGGGAAATGTGTGACCAGTGACGAACAAGAAACAAAAGAAATAAATGTAGGATCTTGATTAATTACCTCACCATGAACGTCTTGGTATTTGTCCCTGGCCCATACCTGTCTCAAATGCTCCATCTCCCGGTAAGAGAGTTGATGAAACTTTACACTGTGCTTCCACATGTTTGCCTTTATTCTTCTAGCCTTTTTGGCATCAGCCCATAACATCTGTATTCCTGCCCCATTAAAGCGGAGGACAGAACGTGGTGTTATCCCGGTTTGAATCTTGCCATGGCTTCCTACTCTGAGCTCCCTCACATGCACACACACAGCTCCTCCCCTGCACTGCCTACACAAGCTTTCAAGTAGAAAGCTTGAAACCCCTCTTAGACGCCCCCCCATCCTTTCCCCCAGCAGAATTATGATCTGCTGTGGCAAGGTCCCCTTGTTGTAAACCCTAGCTCCTTAATACCAGGGCATCATGATCAGTTAACCTTATGTTTCCCAGCCAGATTAACTTGCTGCTGTCTGAGGCATGTTTACAAGTTGCATAAATTACTATGATACCATTTTGAATCTTCATTCGATGATAATCCTTACATTTATCTAGTTTTTAAAAATGCTTCCAGAGCTGGAGAAATGGCTCAGAAGTTAAGAGCACTGGCAGCTCTTACAGAGGACCCAGGTTCAGTTCCCAGCACCCACACAATATTCACAACCATCCACAATTCATATTCCAGGGGATCTAATACCTTCTGACCTCTAAGAGCACCAGGCATGAACATGGTACACATGTATACATGCAGGCAAAACAGTCATACAAATAAAATATTTTAGTGCTTCCATATTTATGAACAAAATGTTATCAAGATTGGCTTCAAATAATACTGAGTCATTAGTGTGTGTATATGTAAGTATAGTCTCTGTGTGTGTATGATTGATGATCATTAACTCTTTTGTTTTGAGTTTCTTGCTTTTACAGAATCTTGCTATGTAGCTGAAGCTGGCCTCGAACTCCTAATCCTCCTGCCTTGGATTGCTGGGTTGTGAGATTATAGACATAGAACCACCATGTCTGGTAAGCCAGCCATTCTTACCTCCACTTTTTAGATAAAGTAGGTAATTTTCCAAGTACATGAAGCTAATAACAATTACAGTAATATTCAGAGTTGACATTCTGCTTTTTTTTAATTAGTGGATAAAAGTATAGGATATAATAATAATAAGTCAATATACATTGGGCACTTACTGTATAGATACCATATTAATATAAATCAGGCCCTGTTCTAAGCACTTCATAATGTTGATTTAATCTTCACAGTTAGTGTGGTGACGCAAGCTTGAATCCCAGTACTCAGAAAGTGGAGGCAGGGAGATCAGAAGTTCAAGGTCATCTTCAACCACACAGGAAGTTCAAGGCCAGCCTAATCTGCATGACACCCTTCTAAATAAATAAATAACATTCACAACTATATAACCAATAGGTAGGTTCTATTACTGTTTCATAGATGAGAAACCCAAGAGAACAATTTAAGTCACTACAGCAGGTGCAGTCAATAAGTCAGTCACAAACTGGGATTTGAATCAGACATTCTGGTTCCAGAGTGGCCAAATGACATTATAGGTGTCATTTCATTGTAACTCCTGGGCCTCCATTTTAAATCAAAACCTTCAGAAATCAAGTATATACAGTGCCATTTCCCTACAAGTCCCCTAAGATGGCAATCTGATAAGCATGTCTATCGTTTTCTTATGGCAACAGATAAATCACTGGGGCAGGTCTGCACAGCCACAGTTCCTTGCTCTTGTGACGGACAAGGAAATTACATCTGTTCCTATGGTATCAGAAGTGGTTTATAACATCTTTGTAGATATTTAAGAAGACAATTTGTAAGAATTAATGTTCAAACACAGATGAAAGAGAAGACATCCCAGCTCACGTCCATGCAGCAGAACCCGCCCGTGATCTCACTGCCTGTACTCTAGCTCACCCGGGGATTTCTATTTTAGTGTTTACCTTTCATGAAGACTGTGTATAAGGCATAGAAGCGGGGGAAATGACGACCCAAGAAACGATGGTATGTTCCATTAATCGCTCTTGTCTTGGTCGCCACATAAGAAATCAAATTCTTCACGTCTGCCTTGGGAGAGAGATGAAGCTTTGAAGACCTACAAGGAAGATCAAAGAGACTGTCTGTGATCTAGTAGAAGCCACTTCGTACCTCGGGCTTATATTGTAAAATACAAGTTTCTGAAAATCAAAGCTCTTTGGTCTGAGAGGGGGCAGAACAAGCAGAAACGTGATGAGACGGGCTGAGCATGGCGTGTGAGCAAAGCCTGTGGGGCCGGCAGAATGCAAGCTAAGGCCAGGGAGGGATCAGAGAGGGGAGCTGAAAGGTGAGCTCGGGATGTGCGGGAAAGAACAGACAACACGGAGCAGAAAGGGTCAGGGATCCGCATTCAGTAGGGATCCTGCGTGGAAAAACAAAATCCCCGGGGCCAAGGCGCGGGACCCCGAGAAGCCGAGGTTGAGCCGCTCCAAGGCTTCTACGTCAAGAATGCTCTTCTCTCTCCAGGGCCCTCACCGAGGGGCCCGCCACGCAGAACCAGAGCGACCCAGCTGCACCCGCCGGGTGACAAAGGGTCCAGGGGCGACGGCCGAGCCCCAAAGAGCAGCCCGAGCCCAGCACACCCTGGACAGCGCCATGTTCACGCGGAGGGAGGGGTCGTCTCCGGGTCAGAGTGCACGCCGCAGTGCGCGCGCGCCGATCCCCAGTGCTGCCGGGCCCCCCGCGCGCGAGCCTGTAAAGGGGAGAAGGACCCGATTGGACGCGGCGCCGCTTCCGCTGGCAGGACCGGAAGCGGGCCGACCAGTGGAGGGAGCGTTTGTGAGTCCGAGGACGCCTTCTCCTTGAGGGGCCCTGTGCTCTCGTCCGCTCCCTAGGGCCCCGGGGCTCGCGGGCGCTGCCCTTGACCTCTGCGGCGCCCAGGGCGTCGGGC